AGTATTAGAATATCATATTTTTCGTTCAATTTGATGTAAATTTTTATTCATGATTTGGTTTATAATTTTAACAAAATGTTAATTAAAGCCCAAGTACCAATATATCACTTTCAAGAAGAAATAAAGCCCAATCTCAGATTATTAATGTCATAGAAATATAAATCGATTGCAAATATTAGAATAACTCGTTATTGATAATATCGAAACGAGTTTATGTTTATAGACCACATACTGGATACAGCTATATGATATTTTCGTTTAGATTAAGTCAATTATTATTTATGCATTAGCAAATATTTTCATATCTCACACCTTCGTCATAATTATCGCAACAGTTTGCATAACATAATATATAATATACTTCCTATAATTTTATGATTAAGATATAAATCGCTCAAATTTTTTGTAACACAAGATTGAAATGAAATAAGTAACTAATAATTATTAAAGAATCCGAAAAAAATTGATTATTCATCATAAGAATTCTAATAATTTTGATTATGTCAATTTTTCTTAATTAAAAAAATTCTAAGCTTACAAGTTTGAACATGATGGATATTTTCGCGTTTATCTAAATCATAATAGTTCCAACGTTTTTGTGATAATCATTTGCTATCAACTTGAGAAAATCGGATGACGCGAGCTTAGAAAAGTCAACAAAGTGATTATCATCGCGAGAAACAGAGTCCAAGCCCATTTTAATGCACATATCTATTCCATATCGTCACTTGTTTACAGAAAAATCACGTGACTACGGATTGTATAAATGATTCCACAGATCAAACTGATAAACACTTGTAATTTATGCAGAAATAGCTTCTATGCATTTAAAACAAAGAGATCTGAGCTATAAAAGATAAATTTTCTCTAATGACTAAAAGAATAAAATAATTTTAACTAACTCAGTTACTATACTAACTTAATTATTACCGTACTAATTTAATTAATGTCATATATCAGGTAATTCCTATATTATTTAAATATTAACTAGAAAAATAGATAAAAATATGTTTTAGTGAATTTATTAATTTCTTTATCTATTCAGAATGCATTCTGTCAGACGTGTTGAATTTAAGTTTATCGGAGAGAGCTATCACGACCTTTCAATGACCATGACAGTTAATGAACTTTATATTTTTAATTGCATTTGATATTGTTAATTGCATTTTATCTCGACAAAAGTTGATTCTTTGAAAAAATGATGAATAATATTTTCAGTTATAGATTCTTTGTAAAATTTAAAAAATTGTTTTTTCATTTAACATGAGAAAATATAACAAAAAACGTCATCTGCACGTCATCAAAAAATCCTACGCATCATTTTATATATATATATATATTGAGGAAAAATTGTCTGTGGGACTTGTCATGTGCCATATATGTCTTCGAAGTGCTGACGTCAGATCGTAAATAGAATTATCACATAAGAAAGATCGAGGATTAATATAATTGAGGATAAGAAGAGAAATGTCATTTCGTCTTCCTTCAGCAATATTAATTCTGCATTACGAAGCATAATCGTACTTTCAGAGAATGATCATTCACTATTTAAAACATTAAAAGCCTATTTTTATTTATATAAAGACACGTTCAATTAAAATATTTTTTATTAGCGTCCATATCTAAATGAAATTTAAACTAGGATAAAGCTTAAATAATTATAATACTTTAATTGATTTTTATATGATATTTCTGAAAATGTGTGTGTATAATTTCGGAAATGTGTGTGTATAATTATCTTAAATTTCAAGGTGTTGAATGGCTGAAGAGGCACAAACTTACATGTGTACTTCACGAATAATATACCTAATAATTGCACTAAATAAATTTTGATCGACATTTTATTTTTTTAACAAGAAATAGATGTTTTTCAGAAACTCATGTAGAGATTTTTACACTGAAAAAGGATGTTTTTAAAAAATTCTATCACCCTTTAATTTTTAGAAATTTCACTTTAAATATGTAATAACGCAAATATAGGTACACAATTTTTTACAATTTATAAAAATAAAATAAATGTACGAAGTCTCTTTTATATACAAGTTTAAGTGATATGTTAAAATAATAAAATTTATTAGTAATAATTAAAGTTAAAAAGTTCATTTATAAGGTTTCTGTTTTTTAACATCTGAATGATGATTCTTATGTATTTTACTCCGTAAATTAAACGATTCGATCACTTCATGAGATTTATGCGATAAGCGACACGATATATATTTTATTTTTTAAATGTGCCAATTAATGTTTTCTTAAACACAATGTAAATTCATATCTCAATTATAATTATTATTATAATATATAACCTTGTTTTTGTTAGTTTCCTCAACTCAGGAAATAAGAATAAAATTTTTAAGCGACAATTTTAACTACATATAAGTCAGATTTATTTTCCATGAAATAATATTCAAAATTTCTCGTTTGTTCAGCATTGTAAAACATATTTCATCGCAATTATCGCATAACTGCGACGCAATCACATGTTAGCCTCAATTCGTTTATTTGAATAACACATTGAACCATGCACTTCCGGACTCAAGCAAATCAACTAACATTATATTATATATAAAACGATAAGAACTTTATAGCATAATCGAATTAGATAAGAAAATCAACATTCGCGTAAATAATACGAGCGATATATTGAAAATAGCACACTTTTCTTCTAAATATCCAATAAATATAAAACTTTCCTGATTGCAGGTAACATCCTTGACAGCAAGAAAAATAAATGTTATTTGTGCTATGTGGTATAAAAAAAATTGTAGATAAGCCATAGATAAACGAACACATTATCATGTCCGAATAGATATATCCATCCAACTAATAATTTATTAAAGCAGCGAAAGAAATATTTTGATTATTTTAATATTCAATCAGAAACAGATGTTCTTATTTTTTTGCTCGATTTTTTTTTAGTTAATATTTAAAACTTACAAAATAAATGAAACACTAGATAAAATGAAAGATTTTGTTTTAATAAAGTTATGATACAAAATTTTTAATTTCTTGATAATAAACAAATGATTCTGAGATATAATTAATTTCCACAAAATAAAGATTAAAACACAGTACTTAAATACATAGTATTTAAAAATTGGATAGAATACGAATTAATTTGTCCTTTAGACGTAATAAATATAACAAAATTAATTATTATGATATAAATAGCTGAAGTTGAATTGAAATTAGATATATAACTTCTATAAATTTTCTAACAGAATACTTATACTTTCCTATATTTTTATTGAAATATAAATTAATATTATTTGAAGAGGGAAAGACAAAAAGGAGTAAAAAAAATAAAGAAAGAGAGTTTTTTTACTTTTTAATATCAAATATTTTAAATAAAACGCAAATTTAAGAACGATTTAAAAAATATTTTAATATAAGTCATTGGCTGGTATTCATAGTTTAATTTTATTTTAAGACCGTTTTAAATAATGTTTTAAGATGTTAATACAGTTTAATTGGTTTATGACATCTTAAGACTGTACTTAAGATAGTCTTAATTATAAGAACAGACTATACAATACCGCGGCCATTTCATTTTAATTAAGGTTATCGTAATAGACTTACTATACGTAATTGTATTATCGCTACTTCCGTATAAGACGCTTAGTTAATAATCATATTTCTTTATTACATTTGAAAAATGACAGCACATAGCGTGACATGGCAAATGGCAATTAAAAAGTGTTAGTAGTGGTGTAAAAAGCAATTAAAAGTATTTCATTTTTTTTCATCGACAATTTTTTGAACGAAGTTGTGAGATATTTCTATTTTGTACTTACTTTATAAATAAATAATTTTACACTGTGGATATTGGTAAAAATAATAAAACATTTGATGTCAGTTGTTATCTATGTATTATAAAAAATTATTTTATCGCAAATATGCATATGTCGCAAAATTGCGCGATTATATGTCAAACAGTAATATGTACTTACATAACGCAACTGGCATCTAATAAATTACAACAGCTAATAAATTTACAAATGGAAAGATATTATTTATTAACCATAAGCTATTAGTTGGTAGTATATTTCAAATATACACATGATCATATTCTTCCTCAAAACATGAATATTGAAGTCTGCAAATAAAATTATTTATTTATGAAACAACTTATCCAAATTTCAAACTTTAAAAAAGAAGTTTTAAAGTTAATTTCTAGAAAATAAAAAAAAACTGCAAAATAAAATATGATCTCATAAAATATAGTTAGATATTACGCTATTCGCGTTTCTTTTATATTATTTTGGACTGCGTTATTCACTGCGAGTACTGAAAATCTATAATTCACGTTTTACATATATTACAGATTTTCAGTACTTGCAATAAATAACGAACGCAGCCATAATAAACTCAATTTTTTCTACGTGAATATCTTAAAAAACGTCAATGTTTTTAATCACTAATTTATTTATTATATATTTTATAATTATAATTATTATATATATCTTATAATAAAATCTTGAGAAAAGAATTCCTTTAAATAATTAATTTGAAAAACATTTTTCTTAATTAGAAACAATTGCTAATAAAAATAGAAATATACTTATAAAATAAATTTTGTTCTTTATTTAATTTTAACAAATTTAATACATTTAATTGCCAATCTGTAGTTTAAACCAATGAAGTGTAAAAAAAAATGTAGCAATTAATCGAATATTTACTAAGAAAAAATTTGATTTTAAATTGAATGAACAAGCTGGAGTTATGCGCAATTGACATTTTCAATCTAAAAGCTCACATTTAATGATTTTATCATTATCGGTACAAATACAAAATGCGTCACACATGCGATCCCCAGCAACGCAGTAGTGCTTTGCTTACGCCGGGGTATGGTGGACGGGAAAAACAGACGTTGCACGTGGTCGGCGAGTGGCCGCGCGTGTCTTCTACCCTTTTCCCCGCATTCACTTTACCTACCATCCTATCGCAAATGCGTTGGCCTGCATACGGGTATAAAAGCGAACGCACTCCAACAGAACGGGTTAGTACTTCTCGCGCAGCGTTCGAATGTATCGAGAATTTCTCCTTCCTGTACTCCATTGCAAGTTTTTTTGTAAAACCATTGAAATTTAATCGTTGGAAACCGTGTTTCATAAAACGATTGTACGTCGACAGCGAATCAAGATCTTTGGGTGAAAGATTCTTGTACTTCTCAGGTTTTTTGTGAGTGATTTTTAAAAATAAACTTAATTAAGGTGGTTATGCCGGTGGAATTGGAATCGATGGCACCTGTCGCTCATAAAACCATCTCTCATAATGGGTAGGCAATTATTTGATTTTTATATACGTGTTAATTCGTTAATTCGTTAATTACTTTCTTTACAAACAGCTAGGATAATGCATCATCTTGATTTTTCAAGTAAAATAATTTATGAATTTAAAAAACATAATAGAAATAAAATACGTATTCTAAAGTATATTAATTTATATTTAGCTTGTATCGCAATATTTTTGCAATTTAATGTAAAATTTATTGAGCATACTGCATATATGTTCAGCCAAGGCAGTATATCATTATTTACGTCAAAGAAACTTTTTATGTTATTTTTTTATATTACTTTTTATATCACTTTTTATACCATGTAAAAAGTTTTTTATTGACTTGTGACGTATCTTTCAATTTTATTTAAATTCTCAATTAGTTTAAAAAAAAATACAGATACTTATATGTCACGCATTTGCTGATTGTTATACAATCTTTACAAATAATTTACGTACGAAAACGTATTTTCAAGTATTTAATCAGAATAGATTCGAACAGCTGATCCGCAAGTCTGACAGGTTTCCTCGTATCAGGCATGTTAACATTAATGACACACTTCTGTCAATTTTAGTGTTACCGTTACACTGCTTCTTAAAAGATTTCAGAAAAAGAAAAAATATGTCGCTATTAATTAATTAAACTTTCTTTCCACTGTGATAACAGTTACCTATAACAGATCTCTTTATTCCGATGCTACAGAAATTATTTCAATCGGAAAATATCATATTATTGATGTCTTCCGCATATTTCCTAAGCCTTGTTATTAAACTTTGTTAGAGTTAAATAGAGATTATAATAGATCTCTGTTATCTACATAATATTTTTATCTACATATATTTTTCATATACAACATTTTTAATAAAAATAAACTATATGCATGAAATAAATGTTTTTTACTTATTATGTGCAATTATAATTTTTGTAATGAAGAAAATTTAATGTGAAGCAACATCTCGTGTGAAATTTTTGAAGTTTATTAAATATGAAGCTTATAAATGAATAAAATCTAAATTTAAAATATATAAGAAATTTGCAAATCTTTAATTATTTATATATGCATATGTCCTATGTGTCATTTTCTTTTAATATAAATACATAGTTTTCCTGAATTATTTGATAATGCTGTTTTTTCACTTAAAAAATAATCTATAATACTTTGCTAATTATTATTTCCAACTACGATATGCTTATATTATAATTCTTTTCATATTATTATTATATAATTAATATAATATATATATATATATATATATATATATATATTATATATAATTAAATTGTCTATTATATACAAAATAATATTGCATCTTACAACATAACATTTACTCTGAAAATTTTGGTCCAAAATAGAAGAAAGATCCTTTTAACAGTATATTACTTAAAAAATTGCTGTGATTTATGACAATTATTTATGTACAGCATTAAATGCATAGAGACTTTTGCATTAAACATAACATTACATAATAGTAACAACAAATAATATATAAAGATATAGGTAGTCGAAGAGAAATATCTTCCAATTGCAAAAGCTTCATGTTACCGATTTTGTGTTACAGAGAGAAGATGAATAAACTGTGCCGTCAACTCTCGATTGAGAGCCCGAGCGTGACCGGTCGGGATTGTGTCTTCAGCTTCGATGTACCCGTGCCGGATGTGCCGGCGCATGGTGCCCGCATCCGGGTGGTGTGCGCTGGTGCTTGTTACCATCCTCGACGATCACCGAGTCTGACCAGTTTGACCTCGGTCTCGAGTGGCAGTAGTCTGGCCGCCGACATATCCGTAGAAAGCGATTACCCGGTATTTATACCGCATCACGGGCTACGCGACGCTGCTCTATTCCCCGGCTACGAAGTGGCTGGCGTGATCGAATCGTTTGGCACCGAGGTACCTGAAGACCGCGAACTTGCTGTGGGCGACCGCGTTATTCTCTATCCCTATGATGGCATTCCCAATGGTTACGTCGAATATCTGGTAGTGCACGACCTCAAGTACCTGATCAAGCTTCCGGACAATATGTCACTTAGCGTGGGAGCTATGCTGCCGGCCGGCGCGCTTCTTGCCATGAACACCGTCTTCGCTGCGCATGAACACGTGCAGGTATAGATAGGCAATCTTTCATATTGTATCCTATTTTTGTTAAATTAAATTAATAAATACACTTTAAAGATACGTTTATAATAAATTATCTGACAAGCTAATACTTCAGAAATAAATGGTAAGGTTTCTCTTCAAAGCTTTCTTCACGTATGATAAAATATTGCAGGCATTATTGAAAGAGAGGGGTGAAAAGAGCGTGTGCAAGATTCTTGTAGTTGGCACAGGTGGCCTTGCCTTGTGGGCCCTCAGAATCGCATCGTATCACTTCAGTAATATGAGAGATAGAGTTACTACTACGATAGCCACTCTTAAGGACGATGGTCTTCTCATAGCTCAGGAATTTCAACGGTAAGTTTATTCAGTTGATTCATTATTATTAAATTCTCATAGAATAGAATAATTATTAGATTGTTAATTAGTAATTATTAACTAATGCTATTTATGCGATATTTTACTTTCTTTATAATTATTAATTAGTTAATTGCAATTGTTAATTAGTTAATTAATAAACAAGATTTTTACGATAGTGATAAATAAACTCGAACACGCTCTCGGAGAGTACGAATTAATTCTAGTATCATCTACATACACTAAATTACAATATTTACATACAAATTATTAGTTCTCTTTTTTTCCCTCTTAAGAAAAACATTTAAAAAAATTTTAAAAATCAATGAAATGCATTTTCAAATTTAATGCTCGTATACGATGCTTTAAAAATTCAAACATTTATCATCTTATTTTTTTATTTATTCAGCAACAGTCGACATATTGGTTACAGGGTGAACGTAGTACAGTGGAACGAGGATCTTTATGAAAAGCAGTTGATTGAACGCACGATGGATGCCTGTGGTGGCCAAGTAGACGTGGTAATCGATTTCGGCACGACATCACGCAATCTTCATCGCAGCATGCAATGCCTAAGTAAGGGCGGTGTAGTGTTTGTGATCAAGGAGGGTAGAACCGGGTACTTTGGAGCAATTACGAGAGCTGGTGCAACTAGTCGCCTCGGGCGACATCGAACCGCCTCCGCACACCGTGTATCCCGCCGAGGAAGCTCTGGATGTCGTCCAAAAGCTTTGTCACTCGGAGATCCAGGGTCGCGCAATTCTCCGCTTTTATCCCGCGGACTAGAAGATTTTTCGTTAAGAGATTTCTCCGCAATAGCGGATCAGGCGACAGATTCGACGACGACGACCGAAAAAGTCCGGATCCGGCCCGGTGATGAGAGTTGTTTGCACAACTGAGAGTTACTATGGCGTGTGCGTTTCGAAGTTTCAATATGTAGCTGAGAAGGACTTTTGAATACAGAAGTAACTATTGCTTCATATTGAGGGCCGGAGATTAGATAAAACATTGATACGTGTAGGAGGGGCAATAGTTTGCGAATAAGGAGACTTGACGACTTTGAGAGACAACAGGTATAGTCTTCGTAGAAGTGACACGTAAACTCGAAGAGATTTGACCTACCGGGTCAAAAAGATCTCTCAAGATCCATAAAATTTGACGATACACGAATGAAAGAATTGACGAAAGAATGAATAAAAAAGAGTTGACAAAAAGAACTTTAAAAGAAATAATTGTAACTGATTTATATGATTGATCAAATATTAACTGTTAATTTGATAGAATTTTGTAACAACAACACGAAATACTTTCGAATCCAATTTAATTTCATCAGACTTTTCGTTGATTGACAATTCTTTTTAATGCTAACCAAACGTGTAATATTTGAAGAAAAGTTTTCATATAATAAACAAATTCTTTTTTGTAAAGAATTTTTTTTCGAAAATTTGCCAATGAAACGAAAAATATTAGAAAATTATTGTTTAATGTTTTAAGGATTATTTATATCTTTCTTTTAAATAACGAGCAATTAACTTTCACAAATGGGCAGAGATAATAATGTATGCGTCAATCCATCGCACGCGCGTAAGATAAGCAGCCCAGATAGCACGAAAAAAATGACGTAATGCTGTCATGCTTAACAAAAAAGGACATTATCGTTAAAGAAGCGACGCTCTCTATTTTCTTTTAATGGATGTCTAATATTTATCGTTTCTTGGCACAAAGTAAAGTCCAAGATAACATTATAATGTATGCATACTTGTGCCGAACGCACTAATGCAGTTATGAGCAATTAATGTACGGGGTATTCTGTTTCGTATTCAAGAATTCTTGAATAAAAACATGCTGATTGGAGACACAAAGCAATACAGTTGTGTGTCTCTTTGACACGTGTGAAGCTGTGGTATTAAAACGCGCACGGTAATAAGATAATTTCGATGTGTGTTGATTATTTTTACTAAGAATTCAAGAGTACCAGTAACTATACAAAATAGTCATATTAACTATACTGTTTTTAATATTTATATTGTAGTTAATACGAGTACTTAAAAGTCGTTGGTGCCTAGAAATAGTGATAAAAAAAGGATTAAAAGAAATGAAACAACTTCTAATATAATTGTATTAACTATACTACTTTAATCATAACTACAAATAGCTAATAATGGCTATTTAAAGTTGCTGGTATTTGTAGAAACATCGACAACATGAGAAGAATTAAAGCTAATATTTTTGCTGAAAACATATGAAGGAATGTCGAGAGTTTTCCTATAAGATGTTTTATTGATACCGCTGTATTTCGAGCAGAACAATCGGAAAAAAGTCTGTATTCATATATTTAAAATGCATTTTCAAATGATCTTTGTTTAATTATATTGTTGAACAGTTATATTTAAAAAATGTATATATATAAACGTGACAAGAATACAGACCGATTTATAACAACAGCGGTACATTCAATATGATCAGAAGATTTTAGGAGAGACAGATCAAGATAGCGATCATTCGTTAATTATGTGATGAGAACCAGCGACCTTGTTGAGCACGCATTTATTTCAAGCGATATTCTTTATGGTGTTGGCGGCGTATACTGCTATGTATTTTAATTATCGAAAAACTTTGTCGCGACAATAATGATGACAGATTGATATCTCGTAATTATCTGAAATATATGGAGTCACTACTAATTGTCACGAATGTTCCACGATAATTAATTGAAGGACATCGATGAAGATACCGCTGATGCAGTACAAAAGTGTACTACTGCAGAACAAGTCCGATATTTATGAGCACACTTCAATGCATACTGCAATGAATATTGCAGCACAGGATCAAACGTGTATATTCAATGTCAATTCAGGAATAATATTCGATCGGATGCGCCTGTACGAGCGCCTAGAATAAGTTTCCCGTTAAGATAAGGATGTTGAACTGTAATAAATATCTGTCCTACCATAAAATGACACGTCGTCGCTATAGCGAGGTAATCCCGATACTTAGTAAATAACGTGTCTTGAAAGTTAGGAATATGTTATCAATAAGATTCAAAGTTGTTTCTTTGTAAGGCAGGTACAGAAAAAAATAATCGCTTCATAATAGCCCTAAGAATAATCGCTTAATAGATTCTATTTTTCATGATTTAAAAATCATTAAGACAAGTTCCTTCACAGCACACATCTAGTTAGCGGATATATGCTTTTTCAGACGTTCTAGTGTGAAAGAGTGAGATATATACCGTATCCGTACATACAAATATTTTCATGATTTGATATACTAACATATTTAACTAGATATTTAAGTTTCTTAATACGTTTTCCGAATCAGAGGCGAGCATGTAAGGATGCTGAATTTAAACGCATCAGTGCTGACCATGCCTGATATTTTCCTATAATTAAACTTCCTTCCGAGGTCTAGATGATCACCTCGCTACATCGTTAATATGCCACTTTATGGTACCATGTGAATATTTATGTAAGGTGTGCATTACTTTACTTTAAGATTCTATCCGATATAATTGAGATTGTATTTAAAATGAAATGTGTCGCATATAAGAGTGAACGTGAATTGCGTTTTAAGGTCAAGAGAAACGAGTGATCGTATTAAATGACGAGTAGTTGCACGCTAACCGGGCCTTGCCGTCATATCTGCCGATGGTTTCGCGAAATTTAAACACGACGTCGCGAATCCGAATCTTATCGCTAACCGGCACAATAATAAAAGCATAATATACTTTACTGAGCGTGTACACTCGTGTCCAGAATATCTCGTTGATCGTCGTTTATCGTTAGATCAGTATTCACCTTTTGCTTAGCGTAAGTTAATGTAAGTTCGTTCGCATAAACTTGCGACATAATGCTTGTCGATTGTAATACAATCGCAAGTTGTACCTCAGAAAGACTGTTCTGTTTATTTTAATTGGTATATTGATATACCTCTCATTTATTATTTTTTATCGTATAATTTAGGCGATAGCTGATGGTCGTAGCGCATCATGTAATATTATTTACTGTTGATTGTAACAGTAAACGCATTATTATATTACGGTGATAATATAGCCAATGTCTTATTTTCTTTTTTAAATAACTTCTGTGTTTTATTTTTCTAAATCTTTCCCCCATAACAATGCATTTTATAATCTACACCAAATATTTCGAATTTGTTATATATGTTGCATTTAATTAAATTGTCGAGGATTGTAAATATAGTAATAAAAACGATTATTAAGAAAAAAATCAGAAAAAAATCTTACTTTTCAACAAGCAAGATATGATATTCATTGCACTAGCTACGTAATCCAAGTAATCTTAATGACATAACAATATATTATTTCTTGAATAGTAAGTATTATTTACTTTAAATAAATTATTGATAAAACAGTTTAATTCATTGCTACATACAACTAAGATAATATCGGTTATAATTAAGTTACTGGATCAGTATTCTTTTTGTAACATTTTTATTATTGTATTTATCGTAAATATTCACATTTAATATACAATTTTCGAGAAATTTAACATTATATACAAATATACATTAAAAATTGCACGTAAAAAATCGATCGTATAATTAAAATATGATTAAATTTACAAATAAAAAAATTATCACAAGTTTATGTATGTATACTGAGAGGCATATATTATTTGTTACAAAAATGGTCTATTGGATCACAATTTTGTTAGGCAAGAACGTGCAATTTTTTGTATTATAATATCAATTATTAATATCAGTTAGCAATTCTGTACAAGTAAAAATAACAATCCAATTGTTACAAAAAAAATTTTCTTTCTGATTAAACGTTATCTTTTATACATGCATATATCATATTTAATACATTTATACATGAATATAATAAATCGATAATTCAATACGTATGTAAAAATCTTAAAAAGTGTATAAATCAAATAGTATATAAACCTAAGTACTAGTAAGAAATTTGAAATGTTATTTTCGAGTATTGATGTAAATATCTAATAATATATTTCGATTAATTATCTTTTTGAGATCTTTACGTTTAATCAGATCAGATAAAACATTTTAAAAGGTTTCTTTCTTAACATACAATATCAATAATAACATTTTTTATGAGATAATCATAAAAAAACTCAAATATTGATAAATTGATAGTAATAATTTCTATCAATGATTAATAATTCTGCAATCGAATTAATTATCAGATCCCAGCAAATAAAATTGCAACGCTATAAATGTAAAATTGTGCTTAATCTTAAGTTCATCGTTATGACTTTGGTTTAATAGGCGAGCTTAAATAATTCCGTGGAACGTAGCCTTGTTTACCATTACGATTCTCTACCAGCCACCATTCATCATTTCCTTTTTCATCATGAGGTCTGAGCAGTCTCAGCGCTTGGCCGTTAGTAATAGGCAACGTGCCCGGCATGTTTCCAGCAAAATCATATATCGCATAGTAAAACTAAAATTTTATCATGTTAAAGTAAAGATATTATTATTCCGAAAGATATTAGAAAATTATTAATATTCTATTATATTAGAATATTATACTAACTTCGCCATGTATATTCTGTATATTCTGATACACCTGAACTCTTGGCGTTTCGGGAACATTACTGTAATTGTGATATGCTTTTGTTTCTTGATCCAATGAAAGCAAATCCTGTAGATGCGACGAAAACACTTTCTTGATTTCTTTCTCTGGAGAATCCAACGACATCAAATTTGGAGGGCTAGCACTTTTTCTGCCGGCAGCAGCGACATCCGATGTGATTTGATCATGATGCTGACTCTGTCGCTGAACCGGTCTCAGTTTTTGAGATGGTAAGAATCCTTGAGTGACTCCAGTGTCGACGTACCATCTCGCCGGATTTCCCATTGGATCCTGCTTTTTTATAACTCCGATCAACGTACCTCTCGTAGCATCCACTTCCAATGTAGATGTACTGGCAATGTCCTCAACCACTACATATAATTTGTCCGCGGTGTATTTTTCTCTGAGCGAAGATCTCTGCTCTTCGGTTTGTTTAGACAATTGCGTTTGATCCTCGTCTATTCGGGCATTCGTACCAGCAAACGCAAAACGCGTTATTTGATTCCATATTAAATTATGATTTACAAGAAATGATTCCAGCACATCTTGTGACGATAGATGCGGTGTTGTCTAAAATAGAAAATTATGTTTCTTTCATTCTCGAATTATATTAGACTGAAAATTTTCTATTAAAGTTTTAATACCTCGCAAAGAGAT